CCAAAGCATCAGGATCCAGCCATGATCGCTCCGTATCTTTGCAAGCAGCAGGTGAAGATTACTTTGTACTCCCAAGCTATTTCCTCCCAAAGAACATTCGTGTCTTTTTTGACCCCGACTGTGAACTAGAAGAGGAGAACGTTTTTAGATTCCACAAGAGATGAATCCCGGTATGCGGTCTGGAGTGTTTTTCCGGTTGATGATGAGACAATCGTTATTCGGTCGAGGCTCAGGTGGTAACTTGAATCTTGGCGGTTCCTATCAGAGCAGCTTCTTTGGCCAACCAGCTTCACAGGTAAGTGGATCTCAAAAGGTACTCTAGCAACCGTACCTGTTCTAGCACTGTCAGGTCTACGAACGCCCCAGTGGCGCAGCTATAACTAATCTTATCTTTAGGCTTGTCAAGGAACATCGGGAGGATATGTACGCTGCGATGTGAACGCTGACTACTTCATTGATGAAATGATGCGATGGTTACAAGGTCAGTAGGCTGTCTTGAGGGGCAACACTAGTGGAGGGGCCCTCTTAGGCCTTTCTTTGGAAGAACATGAGTTTAACAGAGAATGCAGACGCCAGAAATCTATCTGCTGCCTCTGTAGCCATTATGGAAATCCCATTTGTGAGCATTTGAGTGCTGCAAAGCCGTCAAGTTGGACGGTAGAAGTAACCCTGAGGCGTAATTAGCGCTGCCGCCCGTAAGCATGGCGTGCGGGTTTGATCCCACATGGGGTCAAGATGTTTCCCCATAACTCAGCAGTCCCAGCTATCTAGCAGAAGCATAAAATTCTCAAATCTGCTCGACCGTTGATTTCACCCTGCTTTTTTGAGGTAAGCAGTGAAAGCTTTTCTCTTGAAAATAGTCCTTACAGAAGGAGTCGCCGGAGCAGCAGCATTTCGAGCTGATGCTGCACTGGTGGTCACCTGGTATAACACAGCTTCAGCGATTTCTGGCAGGAGTGACATGGACGCAGGCCAGCTCGCCACGTATCAACTTATTTGGCTTACTGATCAGGTATGTGCTCGCGCAGACTCTGAAATTTTCCGTTCTACAGTCACGACACTGATTCACTTGCCTTTATTAGACCTAGGCCCAGGATTAGTCCTTTGCGTCCGTACTATAATATATCCAGTTTAATCCAGCCTCGTGAGATTTCTGCTCTTTAGGCTGCACGATTGAGCTATGTGATCCTCAACTACGATAAACTCGGTTTCGATGCCGCCGATTTCCGAGCGAACTCAAGAAGTGGAAGGTGTCAGGTTGGCTTCTTTACAATTTTGACGATATCCTAGTCTTGAATTTCATAGATTACTATGATTCGCATCCTTGAGCTGCAGAATGTTTTTTAAAACTTTCTTACTAAAAAAACTTCTTGGCAATTTCTTGCTCAGAACTATTTATTTTTCTTTTTATTTTATTTTTATTATTAAGGGCAGAATCTATAGGGAATTTATTTCCACACTTTTGTCCACTGCGGATTCTGAGGCGCTTCAGGAGCCCTGATTGGCGCGGCTCCAACCTATCCTTCACCGATTGTTGAAGAGGTTGGAAAACCGGATGGCCGCTCTCCATACGTGGATCCCTGATAAGTCCCATCGTTTGTGGTGGGACATCCACATCCTTTTCTTCATCCAACAGAGACAGTTTCAGGGCGTGCACCTCATTGCGCTTAATTCAGCCACAGCAGACTTTTTTCATCCTCTTCGCGGGCCCACGGCTTTGTCAGAAGACTGGCAGGATCACTATACTAACTGCAATGCATATCCTCTCACCCAGCCCTCTTTAGGCGGAATACCCTTTGAAATGCGCTAGCTTTCATTGTCGGACTGCGCACGAGGTTGTTATGATGCACGTTTCAGTAAAATCCTTTCCTCGGTGCTGAGCAGGCAGGCATGTCCTGCCGGTCGGAGGTGGGGGGGACTAGAGTAGGGAAAACCAAGCGAGCCAACGAACAAGAACTTTTTTTACAGCGGCAAAAACGTCCTCCCCCTCCTTCCAGCGATCAACTACGGCAGACATCCCCCTGGGCAAACGTGCCCTACTAGCACGCCTTGAGAGGCCTCGACGATCTTTAGTGGACGTCAGTCGTGTCACGGAGGTAGAAACACCGAAACTTTCGCACTTAAGGGTCATCAGCTTCCGTACTCAGGGTATGACTCATGGGAAAAGCAGCTGAAGCTGAAGTACATGCGGTGTGAGAGTGCGGGAATTCGACTCCTGACGTGTGTACACACCAGCCGCCTCGGACCGCATGATGGGACACTATGTCAATAGAAAACAATCATCGCCACGTATGAATGGTCGGGAAGGAATGGTGAAGACCATCAGATACTTTCTATGAGTCACGTAGCGAATACCTTGCGGAGGAAAGCACAGAGCGCCCAGAAAAGCTATTTCGGAGCCAAAAGCGGCCACGGATGAGTCATTTTGTGTGGTAAAGATGAATCTGATCAGGGGTAACGAAAATTCCTTCGTGGGAAGGGAGTATTATCCCGTTAACTCGCGCAAGGTGAAGGGGTAAATTTATCCATACAAACGGGAACTTCAAGTGCTCAAATTGCGCAGCTGACATGTCGCTCCTCGAATGAAGCCTCCTTCTCCTTTTTCTGGAAGCTGATGGGTGAGCAATTTGTGACAACAACCTTTCGTCTCGTCCTCAGCTACCCTGCTCCTCCATGGCCCTCATCGGCTGAGGTAGAGCGCGCTCTTCAGCCTTATAATCGAGAGTAGGTTAGTGGTTTCATGCCACTAACTTTGGGCATCGTCGCAACCAGAAAAATTCACGCTACCAGCAGCTGAATAATGAACGCTACCAGCAGCTGGACATAATGGACAGTCTGGGCTCGGGCTTGCACTGGAAGATTCTTGCAAAGGTACGACCTCTTCACCCCCTTCTCCCTTCCCCATCCCTCATCTTACTCCCCGTCTCCCCTGAATTTCCTACTATTCCTTACCTCTTTCCAGGCCTTCCTAGTAATAATAAGATTTTAGTAAAATTTTACAAAGTATTTTGATTGTTAGATTCCTTACTACACTTTTCTTATCTAAGTTTAGAGGGGGGTGACTCAAAGAAGTAGCTCAGTAAGTCAATAGGAGCTGGGCTACGCCCTAACTTTTGACATGAACTGCGCCTTTGAACCAAAACAGCTTCGAAGCTTGTAGCTCTGGAATCAGGTAGTGGGGACACATTGCGCACACGGCAAAGCTGTCGATAAGCTTTCATAGGTGGAACGCGCTATCGCGTTACAGTTCAATTACGATACTCCAAAGTCATGATCCTAATTGAAAGTTCTTAATTCCAGGCCGTCTTCAATGGTGGAAATCACACCGGACTCGTTCCTGTCGATCCTACCCAGGCATTCAAAAATACACCCAAGGTTGACTTTTCATGAATTGTTTAACAACTGATTCTTCCCATTTTTCTTATTGTCAACTTCATACTGCCGACAACCTCACGAAAACCGTGGAAAACGTCTAGGGTGCTTTTCTCAACGTTCCGGAGTTCCACACATGGTACGTGGTCGTTACATGTTCCGGTAGACGATGTGGTTCGACCAGCTGGTTGCAGTAATAAGACTGGAGGAACATGTAGGCTCTTTCATTGCATATTTTTAGATTATAATTTTTTTCTGTTTTGTCCACTTTTTGTTTTTTTTTGTCAATTCTGCTCAGCAATTGCAAAATGGGTGTTTTTTGTGAGTACTTCGACTGCTTTATTTTCCAAAACTAGCAATTGTTCTGACATAATAGTGACATTCCAACCTGATCGTTAGCGGGAGGAGTCCGGCCTAATACTTGTGCGCCTTTCATTCAAAACGCTTTTTGGCCAAAAGTGAACTGGAGGGGCGTCAGTGGGGAAGCACAATATGAGGTCCTGGCTCCCCACACACAGACCCAAAACCACGCCACACCATAAACCCAACATGGCAATGTCACCAATCAAGGTAAGTTCTGATTTACCATAAACATATGTTGTTCGAGAAGTTTGATGAAGAAGTTAACGCAAGTCCCCACTACTTAAAATTTACATACCACCCTCGATCGTCGTGGAGGAGCCGCGCCCTCTCATACGCTCTTTTTCAAAGCACTCTTTCGCAAGGCGGGAACTGGCCGGGATGCGTCAAGGAAGGAAGCAGGGTAGACCCAGCTCCGCCCCCAAAACCAACTTGGAATGTGTGATCAATTACATCTTGGGCTTTCTAATGAAATTCAAACATTGTTATCGACGAGATCAGTTGAAATAAACTTTTACGCCACATTCACAGAGAATCATTTTGTCATTTCATTGTCCGAAATTTAAAAAATTCAGAGATGTTCAGATCCCATGTTAATTTATCCGAATATTGTGAATATGATGGGTGAGATGACGGTTGATGTCAACGCAATATGCCTTGATCGAGCTCAAACCTACATACTTATGATAGAACAGCGTCAGGTAGGCATTTCTTACCATGGACCGGACCCCTGAGTGACACAAAAGGTTGCCCTACTTTTGCGGCTGCTAACGAATCGGTCGAGCGGGGTCTGTCTTCAGTCTAACGAGTACTGTAAACAGGATCCCTTCTCCCGTTGTACACTTCCTGAGTGAGCACAAATTTGTTCACTTATTTCAGACCGCCACCTGTACAGTATTGAATCCATCGATAGCACGATGCCATCTGCCGAAGATCTACGACTGGGGCACAAAAACCGTTTATTTCCAGCCTCAGAGTGGAGGCGCCAATGATGAAAAGGCTTTTGTTGGCTATATCTACTTTGGTATGCTTTCACGTGCTTTTCATCAGTAACTGTTACTGTTAGGGTTTATAAACTTTGCTAGTTACGCCCACTCTGGATCCGATGCGATTGGACATTGGTAACATCTATGATTGGTTCAAAAATCCCATACCTTACCAGGTAAGGTTGGTTACCACCATTATAGAAGATGGCTTTACAACTGAGCCGGAGGTTTTCAGGTCATGCCACTGATCTGGTATCCCAGAAACTTCACGAATCCCGATATCGCCACCCATATGGAATCAGTAAGGATCAGCGATGATCAGATGTATAGCGTTCAGCTTGGTCTCTATGTTATCGGTTACAGAGAATATAAGGACGATGGGGTAAGTTCGGCAAATTTTTGCGAGATCTTCCAGAGAGGTTATCGAAATCGCTGAGATGGGGTAGGCGTGGCTGCGAACTTCAACTAAACGTGGCGGTGACTGTGGTCTGGTATTTTCACCTTGACGCCATTGTGCTCATGCCCTCTGCTCCAACACTGAACCCAAGATGACTATTGTCTCAGACTAAGATATCCTACGAGTAATCCAGTAATCTGTGCCATGTTCACGCCTACTCCGTCTCAGGGATAAGGAGTGTACTTACAGTCGTTTTCGCCTGCCAGAGCATGAGGCTGCCGGGCCTGATTTGCGCAATGCGTAGCCGATCTTCATCGAACTTGGGCAAGCGAATTTACTACAATTGCTGAAAATACTGGCGTGACGCCCCAAACTCACGCACACAGAAACACAGTCTAGCCTCGATACCAAAAAACAAACCGCAGTCTGCTTTTTATTTTGGTTGCACGGCCTTACATCATATGCCCCTTTTGAAATTTACAACTAGATTTTTCCCGATTGTTCCTTAGGTAAGAATTGGATTGAGACGTGCTTCCGGATGTGAAAGAACTTTTCTACTCAAGCATTAGCCCATGCAGCGCGAGTGCGTTCGTGCTAAATGAATGCTGCATTATTCTTGAGGCCGGGATACCACCAAGGGATAATCTTTCAACAGACTTTGTGCTCTGAGGAGCTTTGACAAGGAGATGGCCCCTGGGATCCTCTGTTTGAAGGATGTGGTAGTTATGACAAAAACTCAAATCAACACCATCGGCAAAACTCTAGCTATCTCCAACCCCCACCTCTCCCCAATGAAAGAGCTCGATGAACATGTTGTCCGAATTTCTAGGAGTGCCACGAACTTGTCCCATAAGAAATTCACAATCCCCACAGGGACCATCGGCGGTGATCTACGCGAACTAGCAAAATGCCCCAGCAAGGGGAACTGCGCCCAGGTAATTCTCTTCTTTTCAGATCAAGAAATTCCGACCTGAGCACAGGATTATCTGCCGTTTGGCTACATACTCCAATCGGAATACTTATGAGTATCGATGGAAACCTCAGGAAGAGCGGATCAACATCTATCAGGTAGGTTTTGTGCACGTCTTTCCGAGTTGTTTGTTGAAGAATCAGTTTTGAAGCCCAGCCCATGCTTATCATATGAACTGAGCAACTTCGTCCATTGCGCTTTACTCATTGGTGCCGTCACCTTTTTGACGTCAGGCAATGTTCAGGTTTAGCAGACATCGGCGCTGGTCACCAGTATTTTGACAGAATTTGCATAGGACACTGGGAGGCAGGGTACAGGCGGAACGACCCCCCCCCCCGGAAAAGCATGCTTGTACGAACCCCCACCTAAAAGGGGGTCTCGGTACGACCTTCCCCTTCTCCAACACCTACCTACCAATTTCCCACATTTTCCAGTTTTTCACCCAAAGATTTTCCGTCGAGCGGGGGTGGGGACCATATGCTACACATAAAACAAGAAAAATCACGGGAAAAGTCAATAACCAGGAAGAAATTTTCTCTCAAGGCACATACGACCCCCCTCTCCCAACGACCAAATACGACCCCCTCCCCAGCGGAAAAGTACGACCCCCTATGTGTTTCACACAACGATGCTGTACCCTA